GAGGCCTAGATTTAAGTGCTCCCAAGGAGGAGTTGTGCGCAGCCATTAAAGAAGATGTTGCTTTTCTACGCAGACAAAACAGGTCTGGTAGAAGATAGCATTGAGAGAGTTTAGACAGACCCTTGAAAATAAGAACAGAGGGAACAAAGTGAGGCATGTATCAAAATTGGTTTACATCCCCTGGGTTATCCACAATTGCTTCCAGTGTCTTGGGGCCGTTGTAGGTTTTTGTTGCTTCTCACCTTGGGCGCTTTGGGTTCAAAAAACTAACCAACTTTGTCAGTCGCAGGTGAGCTAGGCCAACAGAAAAACGGGTCTCCGCGTTTACCAACGGCTGGGAACAAGAGGCTCCCAGAGAAGACCTTGCGCAACAGAGCACTCCCAACAGCCATAGAGGGTCTAAATTTTTCAAATCCTTGCCTCAGACATGGAACGCATTCGTTCCAAAGCTGTGGAGACGCCCATGAACGGATTATCGCGCGGATGCTTGTCACCAGAGCACACCGCCCCAGCAGTGGAGGACTCCTGAGGGAATATTGTAGGTCCACCGGGGCACACTTCATCATTAGAAGTGCCGGAGCCTGGATGCCAACCCTACATAGCCTAAGACAGGGCCTCACCGTTCACATTGATCAACGTCTTGTTGAGGTGCTGGTCATGCGAAGCCATCGCGCCTTAGTCCGTAAAGACAGGCTCTCCACCAACGCGTGAAATCTCCCTCATATTAGTAAAAGAGGGGAGATTTAGAGACTAAGAACCCTCAAACCCAAACGATCTTGTCATAACGCGACGGGCCTGAACCCTAGAAAATCCTAGGCAAAACAGGCACCCACCTCCAAGCTATAGCTCGAGAAGAAATGCTCCCATGACGTGCTGACCATGGACTTCCTCCAGGGGTGCTGACTGACAATTGTTCCCGCGACCACCGCCAGGTGGGGTTGGGTTAACCAGACAGCAAAACAACGCCTCGATAGATGACCTGATTGCGGCTGATTAGCCAACCCGAAGCTCATCATCCCCCCACTCTTTTCTTCCGTTCATACTCTTGTTTGATGATTAAAAACCAGCAGAAAATCTAAGTTAAAGTAGACCTTGACAACTCTGGAAAAAAAAAAAAAAGGAACAAATAATATATGAAATTTTGAAAACATATGTATCTAAACTCATTCAAATTCATATACCATCGTTCCCGAAAATAAAGACCGACCGATAAATAAGCCCTAGCAAGTCATTCCAAGCATCTTTGCACAATTATGAAGCTACCGAAAATAGACCTCGTGGTGGTGGGGCTTAGCGCAGGTATCTGCACAACCCATGGCATTTCGGCAGGTGGTAAAGAAGATGAGGCAGCAGCTCTCATCTGCCCATTGGACAGTACTTACCCAGAAGGGACCGCAAAGTCGCGGGCAGTGCGCACCAAACCGAAGTCGGCTCCTGTCAGCGTCCCGGGCCATCCGTGTGCGTGCTGGCAAGCTGAGGCTTTGAGGGGAAGAGCTCTCAGAGAAGTGAGGAGCGGGACGCTCCGCTCTAACAGGCATTGTGTGTCCCCAGGAAGAAGGAAAGCTAGTGGCGCCATTGTATAACCAGCCCACGTGATGCCTATTCCACCCCAAACACCAGAAGGGAATAGGGGAAAGCTTCAGCAAGGCGTCCTCCTACTGAGCCCAGAGAAGACAATAACACATTCCCTGAAAATACGCCCGGGTAGGTGTCTTCTTGAGGAAATAAATATAAAGGACCCCTTCTGTATTTTGGGGGGGGAAACTGGTATATACGTAAGAATATTTCGGTTACCCCAGGGGGCTGGAAACGAAGGGTAAAACTTGTTTAATTTATGTTAACTGGGCCTGAAAATGTTGTGTCCCCTCGAAATTGTGTTTGGAACCTAACCCACAGGGTGATAATAGTAAAGCGGCCGGGGTCTTGGAGATGATTGAGGTCACGAGGGTGGGGTGTTGCCAGTGGAATGTGTTCAGGTGCTGATGAGGTTTGGCTCCGTCCACGGTGGTGAGCAGGTGCAGAATCTCGTCCGGCGGCACAGTTGGTCCCCAGATGGATCCCGGATTGGTCCTCCACTGGCTCCTGGCTGTGGAACAGAGGGCTTGAGGCCCATTGGTGGAATCTCAGGCTTGCTTCTGTCAAAAAGAAAACAGCACCATCAACTTGTCCAGATTTATTCAGACTTACTCGCAGCTAGGGGAAGAGAACTCTGGTATAAATTGAGCTCAACTCCAGTAAGACAAAGGTAACTGGGAAATTTTTAAAAGGATAACGGAGAGGTAAACTCCAAGGGGCTATAGGCGAAAGTGAAAAAGAGAGACAAAGAGGCTAGGCATCTTATGGCCCTATTGCCTTGAATTACCTGATTCAGAGGACCAGGGGTGGGCACTGGGAAAAAATTCATAGAGGGAGTGAGTGGGAAAAGTACTCGAAAACTGTCAGTAATGGATTGGGAACAAAAGTTCCTTTTTGGCAGTTTGGCAGCAAAATTGGTGGTTTCTTGAGCAAAGACTCAGCACAGGGCCTGCGGGGCCACCTTTCCGGGAACTGCCAAACGATCTGAAATTGTCCTCACAAGCCGTGTGTGCAACTTAATTGCAATGTGAAGCACTAAGGGCCTTCAGGGCGTGGATTAATCAATGAGGGAAAGAGCCTTTATAAACAGGGATTAAATGAACCCTATAAAGGCAGGAGGGAACTATGATCATCCCCTTTGGCCATTCTCTGCCCTCTTCCAAGATGGAAGCAAAGACCATGGGCCGTCCTGAGAACACTGAATCTGCCACTGCCTTGATCCTTGGACATCTCCAGCCCCAAGAAATTCGTGCAGAGATAACTTTTGGTCCATATATTCCCCAGTCCTCAGGTATTTTGTTATATAGCCACAAACCAGGTAAGACGGGGAACACAGCCTAGTGGCAGGCAGAAGCTAGGCTCAAAGCTTGGCCAAGCCTCTTGGCAGGTGTTTGGGGCAAAGCCCTTTGTTGTGCGCACCTGGGAAAGGTTCACAAGTTCACGTCTCTCCTGCCAGCATGGCCTTCCATACTGGAGTAAGTCTGGAGGATTTCCTCTTTTCTTTCTTTTACAATCCCAGTGGGCGATGGGGGGCCAGGTGGACCGCTCACCCAGAAACAAGGCTTTTACGTGGAAAGGCCTTGCACCCGTTTTCACCTCTTTTAAGGGAGTGGCTGGTCCAGCAATAGGTCAGCGACAATGTTTGTTTGAGGAGAGGACTCCAGGGAAAGGCCCTCCCTGCTGCCAGAATTTGCCAGCTGGCGCTTTCAACCGCCGCTTTAGCTGCTGGAGGTCGTCAGGGAAAAGCAGAATTGCTGGCCTTGTGTGGGGAAAAGGTTCCAGGGTTGGTTTGAAGCTTGCTAATGTTCCTAGGACCGTTGTTTTTCGGGCCTTGCTGGCGCACTTTTTTGGCTTCTTGCCTTTTTCAAAGCCTTGGAGGGCCTTATTGGGGCCGGGAAAGGGACAGAAAACCAGAAAAGAACTTGGTTTTCTCCTGGCTCTTCCAAATCCACCCAGGCTGACCCCACCCAGAAAAGATGCCCAGGCCCGTTTCAAAGAAGCCAAAGTTTTTTGAAAATACAGCCAGGTTTTTGTTCAAAAACATCAGGAAAAGTCCCTCTTCTGGCTAGCCACAAGCCCAAACCCCCAACCTGTTTCTTGAAAACGGGAAAAAGGGGGAGAAAGTTTTAATGGACC